GGGCTTTGCCCGCTCTGGTTTGGGCTTGGGCAGTGGCTACTGTGGCAGGAGGTGCTTCCCCTGCTAAAGCTGCTGCTGATGGCCCTGGGGAAGGCCCCAGGAACACACTAGGTGGTACTAACCCAAGGATAAAGTATCAGTGCTCTCTTGAGTGGAATATCCACCCAGTGCAACTTCATTATCAACTCTTGACTCATTAAAGTTCTGCTGCATCCCAGCCCTGGCCTCTGTGTCATCCTTTCCTCTGCAGATGCTCTCCCAACATGTCCAGGGAGAGAGATGTTCCTGTGTGGCTTTGGGAGGGCATTGCTGGAGATGGTGCTGCCATGGTTGTCAACATAGCATTGATTATGTTAACACAGCATTGATTAGTCATATTTATGGTGACCCTTCTAAATGTCAGAGAATCATCAAGGTTGGGGGAGACCTCTAAGATCATAAAGTTCAACCATTAACCTGTCACTGTAAACCCTAACCCATATCCTCCAGTGCCAGATCTAGACACCTCTTAAACACCTCCAGGGATGGTGACTCCACCACCTCCCTGGGCAATATTCCAGTGCCTGAACACCCTATCAAGGGAATCTCTTTTTCTAATGTCTAATCTGCCTCTCCCCGTCTCAGGTCAAGGCCATTCCCTCTAGTCTTCTCCCTGCAGTCATGGCAGGAGAGACCATGTCTCACGTCTCTCCAACCCCCTGTCAGGGAGTTGGAGAGAGCCATGAGGTCACTCCTGAGCCTCCTCTTCTAAGAAGTAAACAAACCCAACTCCCTCAGCCCTTCCTCCTAAAACATGTTCCAGACATTTTCTGAGCCTCATTGCCCTTAGTTGGACTCACTTCAGTGCCTCACTGTCCTCAATTTCTCTGCTGTCTGCACCCAGAAGAATTACCTGACACTATTCAATGACCATAGCTACTCCAAAAATAACTGAAGTTCTCCCATCAAAGCATTCTCTTCTCTGTTCTCAGCAATCCCCACATACTCAGACTCATCCCCAGTGTTCCAGCCTACTCACCATCCTGCCCAATCTTCACGTACTTCACACCCCTTAATTGAGCTTTTTCTTGCATTACAGTCCACTCGGCAGCACAACATGCTAGATGCCATCTGAGGAGCTCTGGGCTGAGTGACATCTTTGCTCCCATCAATATCCTGGCTGTGGTCCTGCTCTGACAGCCCTGGATATTGATGACAGACCTTGGTGTGCAGGAACAGTCCTGGGAGTTGCACCTGCTTGGATGTTTTTACCACAAAAGCAGCTTACCCAGGCCCTGCTTTTCAGAGACTGAATGGTGCAAGAGGGGTGGCTGCTACAAAGCCAACTTCAAAACTGGATTCTGGGTGGACATGTGTCATCTTGCCCAGCTGTGTCCTATAGCTCCTTCATCATATGCAAACTTCTCTGCAACCTGTGCTGCTGGTCATGTCAATGCCCTGGAGAGATCCTGGACAGCCCCTTGAGACAGTCAGCACATACCCATTGCCCCTCTCTATCCTCTCTGCCCCTCTCTCTCCAGAAACGTTCCCAGGAAGGTCACATTGAGAAAATCTACAGTATCAGAACAGGCTGGAAGAATAAATGACTGAACAGCAGTCCTCTAAGGAGGGGCACAATGCTGATAAGAGAACTGTAGCACCTTCCCTACAAGGACAGGCTGAGAGAGTTGGGGCTGTTCTGGTGGGAGGTGTCCTTGCCCAGGGCAGGGGATTGGCACTGGATAATTTCTAAGCTCCGTTCCAATCACTCAACATACTATGAAACTATGAAACTATGATATGGGAATCTTGGAGGTTGAAAAAAAATTGGGCATGAGCTATGTGCACTTGCACCCCCAATCATGTCCTGGGCTGCACAAAGAGGACCATGGACAGCAGGTCATGGAAGGGGATTCTCCATTTCTAATCTGCTCTTGCTAGACCTCACCTGGAGCCCTGCACCTAGTCTGGGGTGCACTGTTCAAAAAAGACATGGAGCTGTTGGAACAGCTCCACAGAAGAGCTGCAAAAATGATCACACGGATGCACCACTGCTCCTATGGAGAAAGGCTGAGGCAGTTGAGGTTTTTCTCGCAGGTGAAGAGCAGAGTCTGGGGAGATCTTATTGAGGCCTTTGAGTACATAAAGGGGAAGTATAAGAAAGTAAGATGGAGATGTTTTTTCAAGGTCTGTAGTGACTGGACAAGGAACAACCATTTTAAACTGAAATAGGGCAGGTGTAGATGGGACATAAGGAAGAAATTTCTGATGATGAGCATGGTGAGACACTGGAATCTGTTGCCTAGACAATAACGGGGTGCCCCATCTTGAGAAGGTCAGGCCTGATTGAAGCTTGAGCAACATGATGTGGTGACAGATATCTGTGCCTATGGCAGAAGGGTTGGACTAGATCGTCAGTAACAGTCCCTTACAACCAAAACTGTTCTAGAATCCCATGGTAACATGTGTCAGTGAGAAGGCAGCAAACTGCCCTGTGTCCTTCCTTTTGTGAACCCTGTGGTTAGGATGGGACCTCCTGGAGTCTGATGGGAAGATGCTGCCTATGTCTGGTCAGAAACACATCCACTCCTGAGTATTTGTGTCACAGTGTTGACCTTGGCAAGGAAAAGGAAAAGGTGTGCAAACAAGGTGGATATTTGTCACTGGGCAATGTAGGTAATTCTATTCTGACCCAAATAGGCAGAAGAATTCAGAAACCAGAGGGTCACTCAGTACAGGACTGAGCACACTCAGTGTCAACCTGTGTTGACACCCACTGCAAAACCATCCCCAACAACCTCCTCCCAGAAACACCCTTGGGCAGCAGCTCTGCCCTGGGACAGGAGAAAGGATGACACAGAGGCTTGGGCTGGGATGCAACAGAGTTTAATGAGTCAAAAGAGGGAAAGGAGATGGATCCAAGTGGAGGCCTCAGTGCAGGGAGCAGCTTTAGCAGGGGAGACAACTCCTGCCACAGTAGCCACTGCCCAAGCCCAAGCCAGAGAGGCCAAAGCCCCCGGAGTTGATGGGCACTCCCTCAGAGCTGAGGATGCTGCCAACAGCAGCGGAGGTGGAGGAGCCCACCACGGTGTTCTGTGGGAAGGAGCTGAGGATGGGGCCGGGCAGGGTCACCACCACTGGGGAGGGCTGGATGTAGACAGTGGAGTCCTGGCACTGCCTGACACAGGGCTCATTGCAGCTGTTGGCCAGAGGGGTTGGGCCACAGGAGGTGGGAGAACACAGGTCGTAGCAGGACATGGCTGTGGCTGGAGGCAAAGCTGAAACACAGGAGGAGAAGTGAATGCAGGGCAGCAAGTCACCCCACCATGAGGGAGTCCCGTCAAGCCAAAATGGAAACAAGAGATGGAGGTGTCACAGTGATGACCTTGGGCTTCTTCCACTTAGCCAAAAAGTTCCCTGCCAAGAGCAACCAAACACAGGGAAATCCCACCTATCTCATCCCTCACTTCAGTCCAGATCCAATCTCTCCCTGTGTACACTCTCTGCCCCCTTCCCTCTCCCATGGGAAGCAGCTCCATGACCCAGCAGAGAACAAAGGGCAGCAATGTGCTGAAAAACATGAGGAGGAAGAAGAGGGAGAGGAGAAAAGTCTTCAACCTCACCTTGTACCCAGTGAGATGGAGGCAAGTGAAGAGGATGAGAGAGTGAGGAGAAAGAGCTGCTTTTATACTGTCCCTGCACTGCCCCAGGGACACAGGCACTGCACGAGGTCAGTCATTTTCCTACACACTCATCTCCAAAGCAAAATATCCAACCTCATGGCACAGATTCCTGTTGGTTTCCATCAACTCTGCCATTTCATTTACTCATTTCCAACATTCTTGCCCTGCTTTGCAGGATCCTTTCATGTTCCATGATGAGAAGCCAAAGGACATGCCAGGGAGAATCCTGCCCCACTCCAGGCTGGAGCTGATGGGCAGCCAAAGAGCCTTGTAGCAGAGGGAGGACATCATCCTGGAGGACACCACGAGGTAGCTTTGGGCCCTTGTGCAAGCAGCATGTAGCAGCATCCTGGGCTGCATTAGGAAGGGTTTGCCCTCAGGCTGTGCAGCATGATCCCTCTGCTCTCCTCCACAGGGATGAGAAAAAAGCTGCCTCAAAGAGCAGCTCCCCAGGAGGAGAGAGGCACAGACAAACTGGTGTGAGTGCAGCAAGGGCCTCAGAGCCCTGATGTGAGTGGAGTCCCTGAGGCAGGAGGGGCTGCACCAGCTGGGGTTGGTCACCCCAGAGGAGAGAGGACATCTGGGCACACTTCTCAGCAATGGGTGAAAGAGCTGATGGGAGTGGAGTCCAAAACCCAGAGCCAAACTCTCCTCAGGCCTACCCAGTGAACGAGACCTGGCAGGCCACATGCATGGGGGCACTCAGGAGGGGATGTGGTCAGAAGGGCCATGGGTACAAACAACTCTCAGACTACACGCCCTGCAGACATGGACGTAGCTGGGACATGTCTCAGAGGGCCAGGGAATGCCTTCAGTCGGCAAAATTCCTGGGATAGACTCTCCCTACACACGGAGAGTCACACTCTAATTCTGGGTTGGCCATGTGTCAGCCTTGGGTGTCCTGTGTGCAGGCACATGTCCCACACACTTGAATTCCCCTCCAGCAAGGGCAGCTCCATCCATGCCTCAGGAAATCCATCTTCCATCACAGGGTTGTTCCTGAGTGCACAGCTCCAGGCAGCTCAAACAGACATTGCCCTCAGCATACACTTGTGACCATCACTCCCACAGCTCTGGGGGCTTTCAGAACAGCCACATTCTTAGGGAAAAGTATCTCCTGTTTGTACAGGGCCAACATGTGGGGGCATGGTGACCTGAAGCAAATGGGAAGAAAAAGGTGCTTTACTGAGCCCCAGCACAGCCCTACAGCAGTGAGTAGGGACTCGATTCCATAGGGCATGTTGAGGAATAATGGGGTTCACAGAATGTGTCAGGTTGGAAGGGACCACAGTGGGTCACTGGTCCCACCTCCCTGCTCAGGCAGGGCCAGCCCAGAGCACAGGGCTCAGGATTGTGTCCAGATGGGTCTGGAATATCTCCAGTGAGGGAGAATCCACAACTTCCCTGAACAATCTGTTCAGTGCTTGGTCACTGTATAGGAAAGAAGTTATTCCTCATGTTCAGGTGGAAATTCCTGTGCATCAGTTTCTGCTGTTACCTCTTGTTGGTTTCCACCACTGGGCAGAGCCATCATCTTGGCACCCCCTTTAGATACTTGTATACATTAATGATGTCCCTTTCAGTGGTCTCTGCTCAAGACTGAACAGCCCCAACTCCCTCAGCCTTTCCTCACAAGGTTCAGGAGGGTAAATCTATCCTTTCACATGCCTATTGATGGCTCTTATTGGGAAGCCCACAGGCTACCACAAGAGGGGACAACCTCACCAAACAAACTGCCACAGACAGGAGAGGACTGAATGGTGGGAGGGTATGTTCAGCTTCCTGCAAAGAGGGTAGGAAACAACCTCACCATGTTTCCCAGATCAATGTCACCTGTCTCTAGAGACCCTCCGGCACATGGAATACTTCTGCTGCCTGTGCTGATGTGTCCCTGACCAGGAAATCCTTAGGCCTTTCATCTGGATACTTGAAAGAATCTTCAGAGGCCTAATGGTCATGTTAGAAATGAGGAAATGAAATGGCAAAGTTGATGAAACCAAAACACAACCTGTGGCATTGAGTTGGATGTTTTGCTTTGGAGATGAGTCTGTAGGAAAATTACTGCCCTGGTGCAGTGACTGTGTCCCTGGGGCAGTGCAGAAGCTGTATAAAAGCAGGTCCTTCTCCTCACTTTCTCACTCACTCTTGCCTCCATCTCCTGGTGAACAAGGTGAGTTTGAAATCCTTTATATTCTTCTCCTCCTACTCTTGCTTTTCCTCCTCCTATTGTGGGATATCTCAGCACATACTACTCTGTCATATCCTGGGGTCCTGAGGATGCTTGCCAAGGTAGAGGAAAGGGAGCAGGCAACAGGGCATGGAAAGAGGTTCAGGTTTGGCTGAGATACCTCTGGAGCCATGGGATAGTGAGGTCCTCCCTGGGTCTGCACTTCCTGCCAGGAATCCTCTGAGGGAAAGGAGGCACTTGTGGGCACTTGGTGAGGTTCTTATTTTTGGCATGAGGCAAAGGGTGTCCCTCATGTGGGGTGTGACAAGTTGCTCTTCAAGCACACTATTGATGCTCTACTTCCACCTGCCTATTTCACAGGTTCATCTCCATCCTTGAGCCATGTCCTGCTGCAACCCGTGCCGTCCCTGCCAGCCCTGCGGCCCGACC